GGAAGTGTTTGTCGAAAGTCTCCACCAAATACAACATGTTTGCCTCCGAATGGCTTGTTACTGTTGGAAGGGTCAACTGCTCTCATAATAGCCTGCAATGATGTTTCTATTGCTTCAAAGCAATGTTTGTGCACCATCGGCGCCTTGTCCCATATAATGAGAGAGCGTCGTATTATAAGTTCCGCAAGAGGACTTGCCTGGTCGATATCGCAGGATGAAATCGAGAGTGCAGTTCTTCCACCAGGCAACAAAAGAGACGCTATTCCACTTGATGCGACACATAAAACAATTTTACCCTTCGGTCGTAACCCCACAGACAACTTCTTCCACAAGTAGGTATTCCCTGTCCCGCCATATCCGTATACAAAAAATACACCACCATTAGCAGAATCAACAACGTCCATGATCTTTGAATAAACATTCTTCTGCTCGTCGGTCATTCTACTAAGAAGTGCTTCATGCTCTACAGATAAAGCCTTCCGATCGTAATTTAGCTCATCCAATATTAAGCGATTCGAAGTAGAGTTACTATGATCTCTGACTGGATAAGACATGGATGAATAATCACGAAGACTTGTGTCGCGCCTTCTCATACAATTTGTTGTATTTTCTATTAAAATACAACAACTAACAATTGGTTTATAATTTATATTAGCATCTACATCAATGCAGTTATTAATAATTGTTAAAATGTGTATCCGATATTGTTAAGTATATATATTTGTTTATCTAATGGTTCGTAGTTATTTTAATGATGAATTATTAGTAAAGATTTTAATATCCCGATTATACAACGACATGTATTAAAATAATGAAATCATCATTAAAATTATTAAATCATCGTTTCAATCTGAGGAATATTCAAAGACAATGGATTAAAATTAAAGATAAAAAATTCATACGAAAGCAGTGCAACAATTCATATAAAATCCAAAAAATATGAAAACTAATTAATTTTTATAATTGTTCCAAGCTTACTTATTTATACGTAGGGAAACTTCCATCGTATTAGAAAACAATAGTCCTGCTATGGAGCACAAGCATCCACCGGTGGTTGGTTGCTTTGTACATCCCATTATTAATTTCAACGTCGTAGTCCCTGAGTGCATATATATCGCCTTGCTTAAATAGACCTCGAAATGCACGCATATGCGCAGAACGTATACAATATGAAGTTATACAAAATAAGTTAAATAATAAAATTATGGACGTTAGTAATATATAGATATAACATATCAAAATATTACCTCACGCTCTAGAAAGATGATCTAAAAAAATTATTGGACTCCACGTCAAATTTCATCTCAATAATTAGAATGACTCTCAATATCAAATAAGGTTTATTGGATCTATTAACAGCATTGAGTGTATCAAATAACTCTCTCATTTTTTTTAATATTTTCCGGAAATTCTATGCATTTTTTTATGGACAGGAATTGGAGAAGTTGATAAAATATGGTATCTATATATATATAGGAATCAATTAATATCGGTTTTGCCGTTCTATTCCAAAAAAAAAATTATTAATTTCAAATAATTTAATTGTTGAGAGTGACTTTTAATTACAAACTTATGGAAAGGGAATAAAAAATTGGATGGTATAGGATTTTGGGTATTTTATAGGAATGTAAATATTAATCTTTACATGAGAGTCCAACTTTAATTAATTGATGAATTAAAATATTAATATTTATTTTTTTGTTGGCAGACTGTACAAAAATTGCATGATATGCGGCCACAAAATGTATCTTATGGATTTGTACGCTTGAATTATCTTGTAGAAGATATAAACTATTTTTGTATTAAATCTGCACAAGTATAAAACATGTTGAATAGGAGATTTATTCCATAATGGCGTGAAAAAATAATTTTTATTCCATTCCTTACAATAATTAATGTTAATCGGGGATAATTAAGAGTGATTTTATGAAATTATGTTAAATTACTATTTATAGGCAGTAATTAATGTTTTTGGCTGGAAATAGTTTCTAAAAATCAATTAAGTTAATCCTTATTATATATTAATAGATTTATTGTTTTTGCATGGAATTAATTTAAAATTTCATCAATATTTAAAAATCCTCATTTAAGTTATTCTAAGTTTGAGAATTGATTTTAAATTAAAGTTAATTTCACAATTCCTAAGGTCTTTGGTAAATCAATTAATGAAAGTATGGGCTTCCCCACAGAGGATATCACTAAAATTAATTGTAGAAAATTACTAGAACAAATTCCTAAATTTAGACGGTTAGAGGAAATCTTATGAGAGCGTACGGGCCTCCCCACGGGGTACGTATAATCAATTTTGACGACCTCAGGATCGAGAAATGAGATTCACTTAGAATGTGATTTAATCTATATACTCCCCACGGGGTCCTTGAATTTTATTGCATGGCCAAATAGAAATCGACTATTAATTTCGTTCATCGTGAATTTGGTTTTGACTTATGGATATTAAAGGGTTCTTGAAAAACCACTCTCTTGTGAAAGTTGAGTATGTAGTGCGACCCACGTAGCATACTTACTCACGATGTGTAGAGATGTCGATCCTAACAATAGATTCCCTTGCATTATGATTTATTTTTAATAGATTTGGATGTTTCGACGAAGTTCCTCATAGAACCCAACAACTGATATCCGAGCCAAAGCTACTTCATATTTGTGTACTATTCGAATTACAACTTGCGTGACATATATGAATTAATGTGTTTAGGCGCAACACATAACAGATTAGAAATGCAAATAGTTATTGTTTGCAAGTATTCAGGAATCCGACTATTGTGGGCCCTTTATATGTGTTTGATTCATGTATGTTTTATATGACTCGGACATGTCGAGGATTTTTGGATTGTGGAATGATTGTAATAATTTATTTCCGCGGTGGGAAACCACACATTTTAAATGCTTTACATGATCATTCATGTACAACCCTTGCGTACCCCATAGAATATATTTATATAATTACATATTATGTAATAATTTGTTGGACCCGGTGGACGATCAAGACGATGATTGGCACACTCCGAGACAAGGCGAAACAACATTGAACATGCGGTCTCCGGTGGTCTTGGTGTCATGTGCACAAAGGCACAAACAAGGTGAACGCAGTGCGCACAGGCACAACTAGGGCGATAGACTCGGGGAACAATAGATCAGCGGTGTTGGGTTGGTGCATATGGAAATGAGCCTGCATTATTTCGTAGTAGCTCATGTGCAACGCCCAAGACCACGACCTGGTGGCTGGACGCATGCACTAGCTCCTTCGATGGGAGCACTGGCCTTGGCCATGCATGTCACGCTCATGCTGTTGCTGGAGCAGTGATGCCGTAACAGCACTACGGCTCATGGGAAATGGTCAAGGCTATGCACGCCTCGTGCAGGCACGCCAGCATCTCTGGGAGAGTCCTTGTGCGATGCGCTTATGGTACCTGATGTCTGCCACACTCACGACAATGGTAGACAGCGATAGTACAACAATCGACCCAATGGGCGAGCTTTTCCCGGTGACAACTTCTCCAGTGAACACGACGGTCTAGTTCGGTATGCTTGTTCGAGAAAGAAAATGAGAGACACGGCAAAAAAGAAACTTCAAGTCCGAAAGGACATCTGCAGTTCCACAAGGACAATGAGTGATAGTTTCTATTTAAGATTGGAATCTTAATTATTAGCCATGATAATTGGAATTATTGTTTTGTTTATTATTCCCTTTAATTACGCATGTGTCTAATTAATAAGTTCTTTTATGTGCATGGAAAATTAATAGGAGAATGCCTAAAAATATCCATTTATGAAAATACTACGTGTTTCATGGAATTAGAAAAGTTTGAATTCCACAGCCTCTATTACCAATTTGTCAGTGAAGGGATTAAAATTGTGCACTGACATTAGAGCATTCTTCCCAAAGGACAATTTTCTTATCAAAGTTTACAAACACAAATTTCCTTCGGGATTGTTATAGTACGCTATTTGAAAAGTGTACAGGTCACCCAAAAGTTGACGTATAATTTTTATAGCAGACTTGATGGCCCCGTTTGTATTTTAGCTTTTTAGACAAAACGTTGTTTTAGTTGTTTGACCAAATTGAGAAAAGCTAATTTTGCTTTTTTGCTGTTTGGTGAAACAACTTTTGAAGTTAGTTGATCAGCTCAAAACGCCAAAAATATAAACCCTACCTTAGCAGTGTTTTGTCTCATCATTTTGCTTTCTTAGGCCACTTTTTTTTTTTCCGGAACGATAGAGGCGATATATATAATCACAGAAAAGAGAACAACGTTCTAATACAAATGAGCTCAACAAGCTAATGACACAACCCAAACAAACTAAAACTTGGAGGACACGCAAGCATGCGGCCTCGACCCAACCAAAATAAACAGACCAAGAGAAAGACAAAAATGACCACTGCAATATGCCTAGCCAGCTATCTCACTCCACTAAGAGGAAAACAAGAAAACAGAAACAACAAAAACAGAAGACAGAAAAAACTTCTGAGCAACCCAACTATCTCCGAACAGATTTGATTTCCAGCCAAGCCTGATGAGCCTTAGCAGCCACTAGATGGATAGGTATTTTGATCTTTTCAAACATCCACAAGTTTCGAGATTTCCACAACCACCACAGAAGGTAGGTTGTGAGTTGTATTCTATCCTCAGCTACCAAAGAAGGTTTAATGGTATATAAATGGCTCCACCATGTTTTGAACTTGCAGCCAACATTGCAAATACCATCCCAGCTCACAGGGCTTATATTCCACAGCATCTGGGCTCTAGGACAATGAAAAAAGATATGCTCTATGGTTTCTGGAGCCTCACCACAAGGTTGACAGATGACATCCACATCCATCTTTCTCAAAGCCAAATTGCAGCTAACAGGGAGAGAATCTGAAATGCACTTCCAAAGGAAGTGCTTAATGGTCCCTTTCACAGACAAGTTCCAAGTTCTGATTCTGGTTTTAGCAAGAAGATTAGTATTGCAGCTATTCACAGTAATATCAAGTTGGAGTCTTTTCTGGTTTATCAAGTATGCATAAGTGGAGGAGACTGAAAATTCTCCTTTCTTATCAAGGCACCAGAAAATTCTGTCCATTTTTGAGGGATTGAGAGTTTTAATACTGAGGATGGCTTTGCTATCTTTCTCATTGAAGAGATTCTTCACCAACCATGAATTCCAAGCCAAGCCATTGTCCTGCATAAGTTCTTTAACCCAGGTAATGTGACCTTGAGCTATTTCAAAAAGAGCAGGTTTTGCAAGTGGTAAAGAATGAATCCAGTTAATATCACTGATTTTTGTGGCAGCTCCATTGTGAATTTCAGTTCTGAGGCCTTGAGCTAAAATAGGGATGCAGTCAACCCAAGTGTGCCACAGCCAAGAGCCATTCTGTGATTTTTTGGCATCAAAAATGGAGCAAGAGGGGAAGTACCTGTCCTTGAGCACTTTACTGACCAGGAGATCAGGTTGAGAGACAATTCTCCAAAGTTGTTTACATATAAGAGCCTTGTTAAAGGAGCTGATGTCCTTAAAGCCAATTCCTCCATCTACTTTAGGCAAGGTGAGCAATTTCCAAGCCTTCCAATGAATACCTTTCTCCTGATTTTCACCTCTACTCCACCAATATTGAGCACTGATGCTGGAGATAGCTTTGCAGACAGACACAGACAGTCTAAAACAAGACATGGTAAAAACAGGTAGTGCACTTTTGATATAGAATCTTATTTGTTATTTATTTATTTATTTTTTCATGCTTGTATATGACTCCAAGGCCACCATTAAGAAATATTTTTATTTTATTATTTTTATATATTTATTATATTTTAAATCAATCTAATATTTAATTAAAATATTAATTATTTATATTTCCTAACTAATTATAAGTTCATGATAAAGTGTGTTGATGTCCTTAAACGTAATTTTACATGTTAACTCTTTCCTAATCAATTTAATAGCTAATTTTAACACATTCTTTACAAAGCGCTAACACAATCAGTTGGTCAAAATAACTAACACAATCCGCTGGTCAAAATAGTTAATGCAATCTGCTAACAGCTAACAGCTAATAACTAGCCGCTAATTACCAAACAAGGTCGATGCCAAGTGATGGGTCACACTTAGAGTGCACTTAATTGTGGTCGCTCAAAGGAAGTGTCACTTTTTTATTTGTGAGGGCTAAAAGTGGACCGAGTATTAATTATGTATTGAGATATTTAATAGATCGACATGGATAATAAATAAAATAAAACCCTCCGCTTACGCCGCTATGAACCGTAGACGTCCATACCAAAATGGCATGTGGGAATTCGATGTGTTGAGTTGTCGGTGAATTTAACAAACAAACATAAAATAATAGCTCAAACTTGATTACAAATAAAACTTGGATATTGGTCTGAATTGCTCGAAAGTGCAATCCGTGTTAGTGTACATACTGAAAGCTTGAATTTGGATGTTATTTACACTATTTCTGTTAAATGAGAATCGTCGTTGATTAAACAAGTTTTATATTTTGTTGTTTTGCACTTAGATAAAATGGTTCATCGTGGATGAATATATGATCATTTGATCAGTCACTTGCGAAACAAAAATAGATGGTTCACAACCTAAATGAAAATGAACAAACCATCGAAATGGTTGTAATGTCAATAGTACACTTGGGTTTAATTAATTAGTTGTATTAGTACACTTGTGTATTGAATGGATCCTAGAGATGAGCAGTTTATTTTATACTAATCATCGTAAACAGAACTAGGCCTCAGTTAATTACTGCGTTCTCCTAACCCATATGATATAAACAGGCACATCTATGTAGGAGACAGTGCTTTTATTCACAAAACGGTGAGGTTCATTCTTTCTAGGCCAATAGTTTGGGTGAGTTGGGCAGTGATGTTGCATGCATGGTGTATTGTTCGAATATTTACGATCATCATGCATGAGTTTGATAATATCCCGAAGTGAGCTCATGATGTTATTTACCCTATTTCTGTTGAATAAGAAACGTATTTGATTAAACAAGTTCTATGTTTTGTTGTTCTGCACTTAGATAAAATGGTTCATCACGGATGAATAAATGGTCATTTTATCAGTCACTTGCGAAACGTAAATAGATGTTTCACAACCTAAATGAAAATGAACAAACCATCAGAACGGTTGTAATATCAATTGTACAGTTGGTCTTGACTAATTAGTTGCATTAGTACACTTGTGTATTGAATAGATCCCAGAGAGGAGCAATTCATTTTATACTGATCATCATAAAAAAAAAAACTAGACCTCGGTTAATTTATGTGTTCTCCTAACCCGTAAGATATAAACAGGCACATGTATGCAGAAGACACTGCTTTGATTCACAAAATGGTAAGGTTCATTCTTCTAGGCCAATAGTCTGGGTGAGTTTGGTAGTGATGCTGCAAGCATGTTGTTCAAATATTTACGATCACCACGCCTGTGAGTTGGATGATGTCCCGAAGTGAGTTCTTGAAGGATTATTGTGATAAACCTTGCAGATGGATTAAGTTTCGACATAACGATAATGATTTGAGTGGTATTAGCTTCGTTCAAGATGTCGATTATTTTGATTGTCAGTAATTAAATTAATTGAAAGACATAATATCTTAAACATTGGGAGGTAAGTCGGGTAATTATTATTTGAACCTCGAAAGTAAATCAAGAATAATCAGGGAGTGCGATAAAAATTCTTTAGTGGATTGAAATATTATCTAAGTCATTGATCAGAGTGGGCGTGGTCTATAGTTAGGCCCAAGACTTAAGATGCCCACATTATCATCTCTGATATAGCTAATATATACACCATTACTTTTGGGATTAGTTGTGACACATGATTGTGAGGCAGTCCTAGTTCCCAATCTAGTTATCTCCGAGCTTGTTACCCATGAAAATAACCAAAGAGGTCTTGGGTAATACAACAAAAGGCTTTAAGGTTAACGAGGCCCCTAGAGACTTATGCGAACCACCGCCCGCCAGCACGCCCTTAGCCAAGACGCGCCTGACCTACTTATGCACCATCCCAAGTGACCATCGCACGCGACAAGCATCAGCCGCACGCCCTACGCCCACTGCTTAGTCTCACTCACAGCATGCGAGACACCACGTGCTAGCCCTGCAACACACGAAAACCACACAGTGATCCACGAGCGCGTCTGACCCACTCGACCATCCCGCCGACTCCGAACCTGATGTTTGATTTTCTACGAAGTGGAATCAACCGAACTTCATCAATGGAAATCTATAACGTCTTTGAGTCTATGAATTTTACGCCTTAAGTATTTTACACTAAACCTTAGTTCCACAGTACGTAGGTTTAAATTGTAGAAACTGATTTGTGACTTGCACAATACGACGATCTTCACCAGTCCCAACAATTCGTAGGGCAAGTGAATCCGATTTAATAAAATGGACATTGGAAGGTGATTTGTTCTATCATTAAAACAAGAAAGGTAAATCTTTTTCACTCCGAAGTCAAAATATTATCCATGATGTTATCTATTAGTGGCTGGTGAACAGATACGAAACCACAAATTAGGTAAAAAAAAAGGGTTCCAGGAAACAAATTGACGAGTGATAAGTAGATTACCATCTAGAAAATGGGTTTTGCTACGTAAGTGGCTACTATTGCAGTGGGAGTCATCTATTAAATAGAAATTTGATTTTGAGAAATTGTCTTTACGTGCTATGTTTCAGAAAGAATTTGTTTACAATTCTAAATTGTGTATGGATATTAAGTTATGTTTGATGGCAAGTCTGATGTTTTGAATACGAAACATTTTATTCATTTGGTACGTAGGTAGATGATTTATTAACTCAAGGAATTAAAATGCCTCACAGTGCAGTAAATGAAATAAGCAACACCTCGACTAAAATCAATAAGATGAAAGGTCCTTCAATAAATGAGTCATACATTATATTGGCATCTAAGTGTTTAGAAAATTTAGCGTTAGCAGAATTCAATGGTGGATAGCCAACGGACTCATGGGTTCTTTGGGGGTGGTTTAAACTATCAGACTATTTAGTAGCTAAAATAACCAAAATGGTCTTTTGAAGGCCGAAGGGTTTAGAAGTCAACTGAATATTAAGTTTGGTTCATCCAATTTGTGTAGTCCTATGATCTTTCGGACAAAAGATAGTTTCTAATATTTCTTTGAGAAATTTATTCGAGACAGGGTACATCAAATAAAGTTTCATAAGCTTGAGTACTTCAAGGAAGTACAAAGACAGTTGTGTAAAGACGTCGAGATTAA